GCATGCCAAGGGGCTGCTGACAGACACGGCAGTTGCAACAGCAGGGATCCTCTTGCGTGGGGACAGCTTTCTTCTTCTCCCTCCCCCCCCCCGGTCCCGCCGCCCACAAAGCTCTGGCCCACATTTTTCTGCCGCTGTCATTGGCGTTGGTGCTCGGGCTGAACCCTGCCCAAGTCAAGAGCGCGAGAGAAGAGCGCCCTGCCCATCACAGATGCAGCAGGCACGCTAAGGAGGCGGCTGGAAAATACATCAGGGGTCCGTCGTCCCTTAAAGGGGGATTTGCGCGACAGTAGAGGGAATGATTTCATTGGATAAGAAATAGGCCATTTCGGTCTTTAAGGTTTAAATCTAGAAATCATGGGTTTTAATTTTGGGTACCACAACTCCCCCCTGTGGCTTGTGCAGACAAAGGATCGGAGTCTTCAGCAAGTTTTGCAAATGGTGCTCTTACTCTGCCTGTGCAACCTAATCAGGTTTTTAAAAATGGTGCTCCTCCGGGTCCCAGATCCTGGAGTTCTGCCTACAGTTTGAGAAATAGCTGATTGCCAGCTGAAAATACACTTTTCCAAAAAGTGTATAGAACCTTTTTTCTTCCCTTCAAAAATCAATTTGTGAGAGAACTGCTGCTTGGATTAAAGGAAAATATTTTTAGTGAACAATCAGACATGATTTTTGGTCCTAAACCTCTTTTTATAAATGTATTTGTCTATCATTTATATACCAATCTATCTCGCATAGTGACTAGGAGCTTCACAATAAAACTTGGAATATTATTATTTGCATGTAACAAATAACCCTGTGGCTAGGCCTGGACAGGATCAAATAAAGTCTTGTCTTAATGTATCCTTCCAACATCTTCCTTACCTTATCTTTTTAACTGCACACTTTTGAAAACAGTTACTTTTTTTTATAAAAGTGAAACAATGTTTTTTAATGTTTTGATCAAGTCTGTATCATTATGGCCCACAAGGTATTTTCTGTGAACCACATTGTGGCTAATTTCCTCCCAATAATCTATTCTATAGCATCTTCTAGCATTCCCCAGTAATGCTTGTCCTTAATACTGTACTGTGGTATTGCTACAATAGGAGTTGGACGCTATTGCTTATCTCATGCTTCAACTCCTGGGGATGCCGTCTGGGAATTCTGGAAGTTGAAGTCCAAATATCATAAAAGTTGCTGAGTTTGAAAAACACTGCTTTAAACCATCCCTGGTTGTCTCAAGATGGCTGTTTGCTCAGAGGAGAATGAAATGCAAAGGCTGCCATTCAAGTATGCAACTTCAGCTGGTGGGAATTGTAATACAGTACAACATTTCTACTGTCTGTTTAGTGGTTTTGGCGGAAGTGATCAAGGCATTTGGATCTCCGGAAAATGCTCAGCGCCTGGAGGAAGCCAGGGACAATGCCTGCAATGACATGGGGAAGATGCTTCAATTCCTGCTTCCTGTGGCTACCCAGATACAACAGGATGTGATCAAAGCTTATGGTTTCAGTAATGATGGGGAAGGTAAGTTCAGGACTGAATTAATTGGCAGGGGCAGGGAGAGGCTGATTTAGCTGTTGTGCTTGGTTATTCAGCACGTCCAATGATCTGGGCCACGGCAGTCTTTATATTTATCAAATTTAGAACCTGCCCGTCTCTCTCACAGAGGGACCCTGGGTGGTATACAAATATATATATATATAAACTGTAGCATTATAAATGATCAACTCATGGGCTGCAAACATCATAGACCCATTTTTTTTTGTGCTCCTGGACTCTCTTCATGATCAAGTCAAGAAAATTAGCAGCAAAAGGGGAAGAAGGTATTTCTGTTTTTTTCTTTTTATGAATGAAAAAGATAACATATCCATGACAGGGAAAATCTATGTAGCCCTTGAAGAAAGTTACCCATCCTGGATTGTATTACACAGTCCACAGGGATTATAAGAAAAGCTGTGTGGTATCAGAGCTGTCTTACCAATACCGTTTTTCCCCCACTTTTCTAGGTGTCCTAAAGTTTGCCAGATTGATAAAATCATACGAGTCTCAGGATCCTGAAATTGCAAGCATGTCTGGGAAGCTGAAGTCTATGTTTCTGCCTCCAATGACTCTACCTCCCCATGGAGCTGGGGCAGGAGGTGGGGTGGCCACATCATGAAGCAGGCAGCCTCTGGTGGGACCTGTATTATTTTTATATATTTCCACACCGGTCTTAGCTTGGCTGGAACTTGGGCATTGTTTTCTTTTGCTATCATGGAAGAGGAGGTGTTTTGACTTTTTTCTATAGTTCTTAATATTTTGTTGTGCTTGTGAATAAAAACTTTCTGTAAATACGTCCCACCATATTTTTGATGAGAGTTTCTGTGCCAGCTTTTTCAAGTTGCTAAAATACATATTTTAATGAATGTCAGATCTTAGTCTGTTCATCCACATTTCATAGTATTTTCATAATTTTCCTGTGCTTTGCAACAGGGAAATTGGACTGACATGTTGGAGTCCAAATTCAATTCTGAAAATATCAAAATTAAAAAGCTACAAACGGGATTTCTGACATTTGCTCTATTCATATTCTGAGACACTGAAAATTGAACGTTGACCATCCTTCTTGCCTGAAAGTATGTGTAAACAGTTAACACTTTATCATTTATCATCCTGTGGCCTCAAGATTCATGGCCATTTCTAAGCATTTGCTTCAGCAGTAGCTGATACAACTGTTGATATATACATCCCCAAAGATACATTTTTGGGGATTCAGTGTTGACTCTTAGTAAATGCCTGGACTAGCCTCTTTAATTTTCTTGACAAGATTTCAGACATAATTTGCTACTGCCTTCTTCCCAGGGCTGAGAAAGAATGAATGGCCCAGCTGGTTTCATGGTTTAGGTGAGACTACCACTCACGGTCAGCCAGTTTCTAGCCTGGCGCCTTATTATTTATTGCAATTAAAATCCCTCTGTTCAGAATACAAACCCCAGCAAAGCAGCTTATTGATAATTAAAAGCAAAACAACAATGAAAACGAAGCGATTTAAAAATTCTTTCTCCAGAACAATTGCTGATCAACTGACTGTATAAGAGAGACCCAACTGAAACAAATCCAGCTCTTTCCTTCCTCCCCGTTCAGACTTTCTACTCACAGACCAAGGTATTGATTGGCTTTATTACATTTTTTTAATCCTACGTTTATTATTTTATAAGTAACTCAAGGTGGCAAACATACAGTATAATACGCCTTCCTTCTTCTATTTTGTTGTCAAGAGCAGCCCTGAAGAGAGTTGGGCTGAGAGAGTGACTAGCCCACGTCACCCAGCCAGCTTTCACGCCTAAGGCAGGACTAGAACACAGAGTCTGCTGGTTTCTAGGCCAACACCTTCACCACAACACCAAACTGGCTCTCTTTGTTCTCCCCCCCCCTCCAGCTAAGGTGATTACAGAACATTACTTCTTCTGACAATTACCTTATTAAAAAACCCGTGAGAGGTTTGCATGAGAGTAATACACAGTTCTGCTTCAAATATTTATAGTAAACCAGCAACAAATACACTTTCCAGTAAATTTGTGAAGAGAAATTGTTACCCACCCAGCCTGGCAATTAGCTACTCATCCAACATTGCTGGTAGACAATAGGGCAGTCAGGGATGCTTGTTATTGCATCATTAAACACAAAAAAATGCATGTGAAGAGAGGCCTGTTGTGGCCAGGTAGCCAGTTAAGGTGTATTCACACTGAGAAAAAAAGTGGAGAGGATTAAATTTACCACAGCCACTGAGCTAATCAGATTAAGAACCCCCTTGCAGGCTCCAGAGAGTGAGCAAAATAAAAGCCCGGGACCACTGCAATGGTTCACTTAGTTGCTGTCCTGTACAATCAACAAACCAGATACTGGAGGATAACAGCATCAGTGTCCCTTATTGACAATTTTAAGAGCAGTGTTCTCACCCTTGGCAACTTTAAAATGCCTGGGCTTCTCTCCCAGAATTCCTCAGCCAGTGTGCTGAGAGGGATGCTGCTTTAGAGAGAACAATCACTGCTCATGTTCTTCAGTGGGAGTGCCAAGATGGTGGCTGCAATTGTGCAATTGAAGCCTTGCCTTTTGGGGGGGGGGGGCTGTCATGCATATAAAAAAGAGGCGGCTTTGAGTGCACTGTCACAACTTGACTTTTCTGACCCCTGTGTAATAGATATCCCTGAATGCTTAGATCCCTTCTAAAGCTGTCCAACTTGGTAATCATTGCTATATCTAATTGATATTGTTTAGCCATAATTTATTCAATGAGCCCCAATTGGATGAGTTTATGAAACACATTTTAGTCATAAAACATGGAAGTGGGAATGAAAATCAGTCATGTTATGTTTTCTCATGACGTCTAAATTCATAGTTAATTCTATAATATAAACATGCTCATTGAACAAAAGTTTCCTTTTATTCACCCAGGAAATTGAGAACTCTTGTTATGAGCCGAAAGGGTGGCAATACCTCATCTAGGATGGTGCCTTTAGAACTCTATTTTTTATAAATTAAATAGTTGAATCTCCTGAAGTAGCCAAAACCTGTGAACCCACAAAATTTCATGAGATTGGGGGGGGGGGCATTTTGCTTGGGATATCCATCTATCATAAGAAAGCACACTGTTGTCTGTCACCTGAAAACGTTCTGAGCAATGGTACAGCTAATCAATAGTTATTAATCATCAATAATTTGAATTATTGTATATAACGAATAAACTGAGAAATTTTAGTTCAAATATACACCTCAAATTGGGTTTGATTTATCCATAGATGGGTATCTACAGCAGGGGTCATCAACCTTGGCAACTTTAAGACTTGTGGACTTCAACTCCCAGAATTCCTCAGCCAGCAAAGCTTTTGCCTGCACTTGGGGGCTCACATTGCTAGAGGGCTCTGTTGAGCTTTTTCTCACATCTCTCAATTGACAACTAGAGATCAGACATTTCTGACTGCGTTTAGGGTAGCATCATGTGCTCAGTCCTGTGGAATGGTGAGGAATAAAAGTAAAAATTCAGTTCAAAGTATTTCAAAAAGTATTCCGTATGCTTTTCTTAGAACAACCAGGGCTGCTTCTCTAACCTTCGAGTACAGAAGGAGATGGATTCATAACTGCTAAGAAGAGTGTGCACAAAATTATAATTCAGTAGAAAACAAAGAACGCCATCCCGCCTATAGTTTAAGCTGGCGATTACAGTCTTGGACACATTCCTATATGCCAAGAGACAAAAAAACTGTTTAATGGAAAGAAACTTCCTTCCTATTGCAAGTCAGTTAGTGAGCCAAAGTTAGCAGATGAGTTAATAAATACACAAGTACATCTACAGTGAAGTGAAAACAGTGAAAGTCCTCCGAGTTTAAAAAAATGTCAAAACTGATATGTTTCGAGGAAGGCAGGCCACATAGTCCATCCGGCAACTGGCTCAGGGATGAACTGAACTTTTTTTCCCCCGGCTTTCCAGATCTACCCAGGGAGGGCCTCCCGGTAGGTCAATGGGGCGGAGAAGCAAACGGCCCCTCCCTTGGTTACCTGCTGCTTGTCTCAGGTTCAGCCTCTTCCTCTCCCTGTAACCTCCTGGGTGCTTATTAACTCCAGTTCAGGAAGACATTTAGCAGGGGAAAGAACGAAGTCTTTTGTATTGGGAGCAGCTTTCTGAATTCAGCCTCCTTCCACTATACCTATTCTACTAGGGCAGAGACTGCTAGCTCCACCAGGTAACTTTCAGCTCTTCTGCTTCAGTGTAATAAGAACGTAGCAGTGAAGGTTTTTTCAATGTGGGCTTCTGTTTTTATCATGTCTGTAATTAGCAAGAACAAAGGATCTATACAATTCTTTCTCCAACTGGTGTCAACATGCAAATGGTCAAATGCAGGTGTTCCATTTCCCCCTTAATAGCTAATGGCAATGCACTATAGTAAGCCAGCTGTTGTAGTTAATAGTGATATAAATGATATGGACTTTCCTGGAGGTAAGCCCACTGAATGCACGAAGGCTTAATTTTGCATGCGCGTAAGCATAGAATGGTGGGGCTGGCAATGTGATCAGAACAATTTCAGGATATAAAGCTGATTTTTACCAGTAGTTTCAATCATTATTTAACTATTGTAAAAACCAAGTTCAGAGTTTGTGGATTCTTGATAGGAAATAGTTAAGTGGTAATATTAAAAACAATGATGATAAAGTTGAAGATTAAGTGTAAATAAAATAGGTTTATTGTATCTTGATGTTTTAAAAGAATAGGAAAATTTTGTGGTGTATTGAAATGTAGAAACCCTCATAACAATGCTGTTTAGTAGTAGAGTCAAAATATCAAAGACTGTAAGATGTGTGTAACTTAACCTTATAGTATTTTCAGTACTATTTTCATTTCTAAGGCAACCAAATCAATTGATTATAATATTGCTAACTTTTAAAAGCACCAAGATAAATAATAAATAGAGCTGGAGGGTGATTTGCAAATTCATCTATGAATCCTTGCATCTGCTGTCTGTCCTCTCTGTTTTCCTTCCAGAAAATCCACTGCTACCTTGTCTTACTTTAGGCAAGACTCCATCATGTACAGTAGGTATGTCTTACCCAGCAGTCACTGTTCTTTTGGCCCTAAGCAAGCCGAAGAGCAGACTTCTCCACAGGACAGAGAATGTGAGAAGGGACGCAGAAAATTTGAAGAATTGCATCTTGAAGGTCAGACAGCTTTCCCTACCTGATAGCTGAAAATGCAGAACAGCATCTCTTAGTACCTGCCAAGAGAACCTGATTGATTCTTTACATCAAAACATTGGTTTATCTAAAGACACCGTTGAGCAAAGCACCAATCTCCAGCAATGTTTTTAGTTCCAAAAACTCACTGGAACCTAAAGGCCTTCATAAGCTTCCTAGAAAACCAATCCTAGTGCTGTGGCTCTGTCCTTTTGCTAGGTGAATGTTCACTTGTTGATAATGAGCTGAGCATCCTCTGTGCAGTGTGGTAAAGAGCATTGCAGTAATTGGTTTGTAGGCAGCCATCTTCTGTTGAGTGGGAAAAGTCACAACGTCCTTTTTTGCCAGTGCACTTAGAAGTTTCAGGCCCCAAACACTGGAAAATCCTGACTTAGTGTACAATGAGACCTTAGGTAGCAAAGCTAGGAAAGACTTTGTATTACATTGGAGCTTTCCATTGCTGCTAGACAGAGCCAGCTGGGATAATAATCATATGCAGTGCCATGCAGCCTGATAAGTCCTCTCCTTTCTATTCTTGTTTTGTCTTCACCATCAAGTGTTAAACTTCAGCTGGTGAAAGTCAAATGTAAGAGTAGCAAATGAGCTAAACTCTTTCCCCCCCCTCTTTCCCCTCTTTCCCTCTCTCCAGATTTCCCCAGCAAGTGCCACTCTGCAAAAGAGCAATGCAGGGCAAAGGCAGGGAACATACAGCAACTCCCTAGGTTTCCTGCAGTAGTTTGACCTGAGCTGATCCAAATATTTTGTTTTGGTTAAAAAAAAAAGTGTGCTGATCCACAAGCATTTGTTGCAATGTTGTAGAGCTCTGTGAGAGTATCCATGGCTGGGAACACTATTCCCCACTTTCCCCAGAACAGTGCAAGAAATCCTGGGAATGCCACTGGAAGATGGGGTGGTGGGAGGGGGGAATTGGATAACCAACAAGCTTTGCTTTGTATTTAGCCTGCAGCTGCATGACTGATTATTATTTTCATTTGTGTAAATGTGTGGAGGGGATCTATAGTATATATCTTCTGACATTAATGGAATCTTTAAAGAAAATATCTAAATATCTCTAGGTCAATTTGAAAAACAAATGACTGGGCTAAGAATTTAAGCTTCCTTCACCTGTATGTGATCATCATGATCAGGACCAGACCCACACAAGCTGCCATCAGCATAAACACAACTCAGAAGAGCAGTTACATGCTATGGAGTTATTATATCTTGCAGTTAGCCATCAGAATTAGCACTGCTTTATTATCAGTGCCAAAAATATCTGCTAGTGGAGTTAAATATTATCTCTGTTAGGATCAAAGTTTAGAGTACAATCCCCATGCTTTGATGTTCAACGAAAATATTTTTACTGTAAGTCTTCAGATGAAAACAATAATAGTAATAGTCATCTTATTCTAGCAACATTATTTCTTCCCTTTTTTTTTAAACTGTCCAGACTGAAGAGTCTATGTAACCAGAAAGCAGGCAAATTATGTGAAAGTGATTGGCATGACCAAAACACATGCCAAGGTGCATGCACACCTTAAAAGGTCCATCTATTTGCAAATACTGTACTTGAGACTTGTATTGTGGACAGGTTTTTTTGATAAGAGCATGCTTTTCCCTCTTTTTCTAAGTATGAATTTTATTCTACAGCTTCAAGTGGACATCATCATTTAGTATTTACTTTGTGCAATCAAGATCTTGCCTAAAGATATATTTAAAATGCTGGGTATTTGGCTCAAAGTCTTGTTCGAGGCAGCTCCCTTCTAGGCAGGGAGGTTCAAAAAACAAATTTATTTTTCCCTTTTAATTTTGTTTCACTTTTAGAGAAAAACCTTTCTTCTTTGAGAAGAAATAAGCAATTGAAATTTTCTCCTGCCATGTAACAAGGCCTGTTCAAGGAGCTGTAAGCATTCAAGTACCCAAATGGAAACAAGAAGCTGGTCCAGCAAAAGGGCATTTTATATTAACATCAAGGGAAAAACACCTTTGCTGGAGTTAAATTGGACCAGATCTAGTAGAAAGTTTGTGGGAAAAAGTATTATTGTTGCATGATATAGCTATAGACTACGTCTTTGTGGTGAACCTCTCTATGAATTCCACCTCATTCCATTGAATGAGGAAAAATAATGCAGTGTGGTAAAGGGATTTCTTATGGAAGAAAGAAGCACATAATAATATTCAGAAAATAGAACCTGAAATGTTTAAAGCTTTCTCTCTTTTTCTGTTGCAGGCCTGAATTCCCCAACATCTTTTATATTTATGACATTACATACACTGATTACATACTCTTGGGATATAATTGCCTTTAATTATGTTGCATTTAGTACTGGTGTTGATTCTCCTGTAGTGATAATTAAATGGACTGCCTTGCACTCATTTATCGTGAATTCTTTCTCCCTCCCCCCAAAAAGGAAGAAAGACAAATAGTTGTGAGCAAGGAAGATAGGACAGAAGGAGAAAAAGGACCCAAAAGCAGAAGCAGAAGTGCACACATTGCAACTTGCAGTGAAGAACAACGATGTTAGATATGCTTCCTGTTCCTGTATTAGTGCTCAGCAACTTGGAACTGCCTGTTTGCCTCACTTCTTTCTGCCCTGACCTACCAACACGGACTGATCGTGGAGCAGACTATGAATGTGTGATGGGCAGTGGAAACGCATGAGGTAGATGGATAGAGTCAAAAAAGGAGAATTCACAGCTGGAAAGTCTGGTTGAGACATCAAACACTCATTTTGCTTTTATTCTCATCTTAAAAGAAACTTCAGTTAATTTTTCAATTGTTTTCTTAACTGGACCTTTGATTTTGCCACTGGTCACCTGGGAAATAATGAGGTAAGGAAAAATTTAGGATTGACTATTACAGGTTAAGGTTTTCTTTCTAAGCAGGTCTTGAAATGTTTCCTTGAACTGGGAGGGACAATGTTCTGTGGGAGTATGTGTGTAATATGAGACAGTTGTTCAAACGGATCATTGTGTTACCTCTGGCTGTGTGGATTTGGGAGCAGAGGCTACATCTTCAAGCATCACTGCCTAACTAACAACTGCAGCTGAATCTTCAGGATCATTCTAGCAGAAGTGTAGCAAGTAGAGTTTTTCCTACTACTTGTTATTAGTGGAGGAACAGCTTCACTAGCTACATATGTTTCCCTTCTGCTCAGTTAGAAAGTTGATGACCCTTTCTCTCTTCACAGAGATGATTTGATTACTTGCCACTATATTTTGGGGATGTTTTTATTGACTTCATGTCTTCTAAATTGTTATAATTGTTTCAGAATTTTAGAATTGTATGCCATCCAGAGCCACTTGATTGAGTTGGGGGGCTATAGAAATTGAATGAATAAATAAATGAACAAGCAAACAAATAAATAATGCTTAATGGCCAAACTCTGAATGTGTGAACTGACTGCATCTGAAAGCTGTATTCCAGATGAACTGAAGGGTCAGCCTACTTTGGTTCATCTGCACTGGTTGAACCTCATTAATTTGTTGTTAATTCTAAATTATGAACATGCTAGTGGGAGTCAGTGCTGTTGGGGCAGGGGAGAGAGAGTGAAGGAAAACCATTGTCCACTTTCTGAATTGTGGTAGAGGATGGAGATATCTGTCTTGTGAGCTCTATATAGGATCACACTTACATAGTCTACTCCATTCCCCCCCCCCTTTTGATGTCTTTCTTTTTTTTACTTTTCTTTCCACCAAGCAGGTGGTTTCATCGTGACCTGAGCGGCATAGATGCTGAGGCCTTACTCAAAGCACGAGGAATTCATGGCAGCTTTCTGGCTCGGCCCAGCCGGAAGAACAAGGGGGACTTTTCCCTTTCAGTCAGGTAATTGCCCCCCTCCTCTTCTAATCCTTTGATAATATTCCATGGTTTTCCTTGAGTGACACTTACCTTCCACTTCTTCCATTTTTCCTTTCCAAAAGTACTCCATGTTGGTATATACCCAAAGACTTTCCCCCTGTAATAAACGGAGGCCATATCATAATAGGATAGTTCTCATGGTTAACTGTTAAAACATATATCACTCCTAAAGTCTGTGGGAGAGGGCTGCTATGATACACACACACACACACACACACACACACACACACACATATCTATCTATCTATCTATCTATCTATCTATCTATCTATCTATCTATCTATCTATCTATCTATCTATCTATCTAGCAAGTCCCAAGACACATTGGAATTGAAGGACAGAGTGGAAAAAGAAAAGGAGGAATGGAAAGACTGCAAGTGAAGATGGCTATTGTGAAACTTATTACTTTCCACAAACTTGAAGATGCATTCTTTCTCTGGGGTTTTTCCCAGAGGCTTTTGTCTTTTTTTGGGTGGGGGAGGTTTGGTAGAGAGACTTGGTGGGACGTTTAGAGGCTGATTCTCCCTACAACATTCTCTGAAATAAATCTGCTGATGGCATAATACTAACCTTTTGGGGAACAGGCCTTCAAACAAAACAAGCAGCTTCCTAGGCTAATGGCACCAATGCTCTTTAAAAAAAGGTCCATGGTTTGGGGAAGTCATCAGACATTGGAACAGAAAGACTGGGTTCAAGCCTTCCCACTGGGACTTCCACAGCTTCTGACTCCCATGTTAATTTTCTAGCTGGCCTCCATTTAAGTAAAGCAACTTTATTTCTTCTTTTCTTTCAAATTGGAATTTCCACTAACTCTCATATTAATCTTATACAATAAACCTTCCTCTGGATAATAGTCCTGCTTAAACAATTTGAAGTAAATAAAAATATCAGTGCCACTTCTAATGCCATTACGTCTGCCTGCCTTAACACAGAAGGCATGAAAATTCCAGTAAAATGACAATTGGAAAAATGCTACGGGGAGTCAAACGTACCATCCTTTTAGCTAGCTTTCTGTAAAATTCGGTCTTATTTATTTATAAGACAAATATGGCCACATTTCTTATGTGTCACAATTCCGGTGGCTTACAAAAACAGAAGTAAAAACCAAAGGAAGACAATACCCTCCCCCCAAAATAAAAACAACCCCAAATCCCAGCATCCTAAACTCCGTGGTACAACTATAAATACAATCAATGGCTCTAGCTTCATTCTATTCCTAATTCTTCAGTTTGAATAAAAGTCTTATATTCAATTCATATGTTGTGGGATGGAAGATAAGCCCTGGTGAGGGCAAACACCAAGGAATCCATCCAGTTCCCCGAGATCCCTTATTTTGGTCTAGAATTCCTGCCAGGAGAAATAGTGAAGATCATTTCTCTTTTGCTCTTCCCTTCCTGATCAACTGATGAGAAGCTTTTGACTCTCTCTTTTAGGGTTGGTGATGAGGTAACTCACATCCGTATCCAGAATACTGGGGATTATTATGACCTCTACGGAGGAGAGAAATTTGCTACTTTATCAGAACTGGTGGAATATTATACACAGCAACAGGGATCCCTGCAGGATAAAGATGGCACCATCATAGACTTGAGGTATCCACTCAACTGCTCTGATCCCACCACAGAAAGGTATGAGGAAAGCACAGCTGCTTCTACCTATAGCTGCATACCCATCTTGACTTTCCTTTCCACACTGAGCCTCAGTTAAGGGGTGCTCACACATTATATTTATGTCTGCGTAGATATAACTGTACATTATGTGCAATATATTTATTGATTATTTATTTGCATGCAGTGTCTGAATAGTCATCTAGGAGGGATGGGGTAATGAATGCTGCAGTAGGTGAGAATTCTTAGGTTCCTTCCATGATTCCTTAAGATCCTATAGGGTTTTCTGAATGATAGTCTACATGCTTTTGACTCTACAAAGACATTCCTTTATTTGGAGCATATGAAAGATCGTTATGTGTTACTCCTAATTTGTACAACAAGCAAGCTCTATTCTCTATATTTCCACTTTAAAAAAAAGCACAAAACAGGTAAGAAGATAATTTAAAAGAGTGTTAAAAATGCCACCAGCATTTAAGATCACGAAAATAACCAATATCTAGATCTCAGCTTGAATGTAGATTTTTTTTTCATAGAGAGGTCTTTCTCAGACAAGATGTTAAATAAAGTCAAACATTGTGCCTGTATGTGTGCACACATGTATGCATGCCCTATTCTAGTCATGCAGTTGCCTTTTAGTTGAAGAGTAATGGACTCCAAGAAGAGGTAGCAGATGTTTACAAGGCCATATCGAGTTATACCTAATACTGTCCTGGGACTGCTGAGAAGAAAGAGCAATCATTAATTGCATAGCTTGAAATATATAGAGAGATATTCAATGTTTGGACTGAAAGATTTTAAGCCTAAGCATATGGTGAATCTTGCACGAATGGGTCACTTAAATATTGTTCATAAAATAATGACTGCTTCTCTATGCAGAAATAAGCTCTGGTGCATATTCAGTAGGGAATGCATAGCACTGAACTGTCTGGAAAAGTTATTACGTCTGCATAAGCCATTATGCATATAAATAGTGCAGAGATTTTTTTAAAATAAAATAATATATAAATAATAAAGAAGAAATGCTAATAAGAATTTTAAAGATACTGGAAATGGTTGCTTTATTAAAAGGAAAGGAAGAAGGAAGAAATCAGTATGATCTAATAAGGCAATTGTAAGGAAATTCTCAAAATGAAAAGAAGAAAGGAGACACGGAGTCCCAAAAAGTAATTAGCCACATGTGGGCAATCAGGGTCTCTTGTTCCTGGCTTTTGCTGCTATACAGTTGTGGGCTGCTGAGCCAAACGGTTGGCTAAAATTTTCTCTAACGCTGACATCTTTAGCTGCAGCTATTTTTCTTCATTTTCCATATAACTCCAGCCTCCCTCATTATTAATGACTCTGGATCTCTTGTGGAAGCTTCCAAAATCTAAAAAGGTTTATGTTCCACTTATCCAGCAACAGATATACTTTATATGCTTATATAATATTAATACATATCTATCAGGGCATACCACTGTGTGTTCATTCTACCCACACCTACAAATGAACTGTGCCATTGCTTAAGTAGAAAACCTCTTTAGGCCCACTTACAAACAGGATGATTTTATTCATGTACAAAAGAGTACATGGTCCAGTATGCCATTCCTAATTCTCCTTGTGGACTTCTGTGGGGCAGGACTTCTCTCAGTGCCTGCTTTTTGTCCATGTCAGGAGGATCTTGGAAAATCAAGTATTCACTCAAGGGGAAAGACTCCACAGATCCTGAGTATTTCTGAATGGAGATACAGTGTAGTTCTTTTCATAACACCTGAAAAAAGCTAACAAATGTTTAGAAGTATATAAATAAATGTGTCCTACTGTATATAATGTATGCTTACATGTCCTTTGTTCCTTTAGTATGGGATCTAATGAATGATTAACTTTCCTCTCAGCATGGCTCCCCTTTTACTTTTCAAGCTTTCTTAAGCTGAGAGATTCCCTAAGTCCTAAAACAGTAGGGTATAGAGCACATACTACATTTTGTCATGTGATGAAGTTTCAATATTGGTGTGACTTATATTTGGAGATGAGATTTCTTTTGTTTCACTAATTTGTTATTTTTGGCACATTGTTAAAATGCAAAGATTGGGGTGTCAGTAAGAAGCAGGTATCAAGCAAATCACTTGTCCGCAGTCAAACGTTTTATTTTCAAGGTATATTTCATATTTCTTCTTCTGTTGCAAGCTTGTAAGCCTTATGATGGCATCAACCTTTGTGGAAATTTGCTTGTCATTATGATGCCCTATGACTCTTTGTTTTTTTACTGCCACCCATCTAGAAATTGTATTAAAATGTGTGGCTTTTGTTCATGTTGGTTATGGACGGTTCCAGCCCTCTGATTCTATGTTCTATGGTATGTTAAGCCATTTGTGAGACAGAGCTGGGTTTTTTTGTCCTGTTCCAGAACAAACTGCTGTACCCTTGAAAAGAATCAGTCTATTTATCCTCTCTAGGTCTCTGTGTGCAGGCCTGCTCGCATCCAAAGGCAGCAGTTGGCCAGGGAGCCTGCTGCTTCCTCCCTTGCGGTTGGAAAGTTCTGTCCTCCAGGCTCTTACGAAAACTCAAGCCTCCCTCCCCACCAACCACCCAAGATTTTCCATCACGTGGCTTCCCCTCCACTTGGCCCACTGAACTTAACTGTTTCCTCTCTGAGAGGGAAAGAGGCTCACTTAGCAAATGATAGCTCTGTTAATTTCCTACCCAGCAGTTCCATAGTTTGGAACATCTTTGGGAACTGAGGTATTCATCAAGATATAGCTTTCACCTCCCCTCATCATTCTTGGTTGAGGTTGCTGGGACTTGTAGTTTAGCCTCTTCTGCAGAAGCACAAATTCCCTCCTTCTATTTAAAAATAAAAAAATCTAAAACAAAGGCAGTGTGATCTCTAAAATTCCCCACACTAATAAAAACATAAACGATTGCATTTATTGTATTATTCTCTTCAATGAAATTCATTTTATTTGACTCTAATCAGGTATACATGAACCATAGACCAGTAAGTTGAATTTGTAGCCTAATGAGTGCATTAAATGACCATTTATCGAACACTGGTTAGGCTATCAGGATTATTCACAAATATGTATAAGATTGATCTAATCTCTCAATCTTTTAACAATATGATTTTCGTATAATAATATAATTTGAGAGGCAATTTGGTCTAGCGGGTTAAGGCATCAGGCTAGAAAGCAGGAGACCGTGAGCCCTAATCCTGCTTTAGCCATGAAAACTAGCTGGGTGATTAGCCAGTCATTCTCTCTCAGTCCACCCTACCTCACAAGGTTGTTATGGGAACAATAGGAGGAGGAAGGTGTGTTGGATATGTTCACCAACTTGAGTTATTTGTAAAAATAATAAAGGCAGAATATAAATAAACACACAAACAAACAGGCTACAAGGAACTATTCTCTTAATACTACCCAGTGTTTATTCTTCTTTATGTTAGGGTCTCTACAGTTAGGGTCTCTCCTAACTGTAGAAGTGAAAAATCTAAATAATGTGATAATCTCTGAGTTGCTGTACTGTTTCTTTGGAAAGATAATTGAAATAATGAATGTAAACTCAACATGTTAATTGTAAATCTCCATCCACAACAATTACTTTTTCCTCAACAGAAAGTGGCAAACATTACAATGTGACTCTAGATTGTCATATTTCAGTAGTCCAAGATACTAAACATAACCTCTCTGAGAACCCCTCCCAGTTTCATGATTCCTGCATTTTGCCTTGGCTCTGATTGTTTTGCTTCCTACTCCAATCCAGCCCAAGAACTCTGTATTTAGAAATCAAAACCAATTTCTTCATTGTATAAGGATCATGCAAAAATAAAATAGAAGGCATTAAATTGCGGTGGCCTTCATGCATGCTGTTACTCATACTGCAAGTTAGTGATATCAGCTGAAAATATTCAAAACCACTAACAAAAATAATTCAAAGCGGTATTTAAAAATAAACCTGTTCTTTAAAACCAGTATTAAGTGTAATATATGCGGCTAAAACCTGAGTTCAGAAAGGTTGGGTTCAGAACCAATTAGAAAATGAACTAAATAAAACTGGGTGAAACTGTGAAGTTAAGAACCAGAGGAGGAAGAAGAAAGTGGTTATCAAGAAGACTCACTTTGGATGGATATCAAACTACCAGCTTTTTATATAGACTAGGGCTAGGCAGAGTTTTTCAGGAGCAAATAATTTTTTAAATAAATTGACTCCAATTTGCTTAGTACCTTTGATGATATCCATAAGTACATTGTAAATCAATGTGGCATGAATAAGAGCAGTTATAAAATCCTGATCTTTTAGAGCCTGTAAAATCATAGTTGTCATATTGTGGATTGTCTGAAGCATCTCGAGCCTTGCCAGGTCAACATGCTGCAGATGACCACAGTTGGGGTAACAGTTTAAGAACAGTATTCAATTATGTCTTTATTTATAAATTTCAACATTTCCTATAACACCTTTGAAAAGAGTGGAATAATTGCAAGATAATACAAAAACAACAATATAATTTAAGCTGGGGAGCAGGGTGGGGAGCTAGTTATTTTAGAACAATCTAGAAAGTATATTGAAATCAGTTTTCCATTTCCTATTGAAATAATACATTACAACTAAAAGACCATTAAAAACAAATGTTTCATTAGCATACTTGATATCTAATTAATCAAGATACGTGTTGGCAGTTGACAAATTACTTTGTAAAATCTATTGTGCAATTTAAAAAATTAAAGATTTAAGACTTTTTTTTACTCGAGCTGAGAATAAGATACACAATATGTGAAATATATCTTATATAAAATAGCACCTCTCTAGCAAAACAAGTGCAATTACTGAAATAAAAATATGCTCCATGTATAAGACAAAGAAAAGGGTCTTAATATAGGTAAATAGTAGCAATTAGAAAAATTAGACTGCTCCATTGCTCTTATAAGTTCCACAATTTCAGGGTCTGAGATGATTTGTGGAATCGGTTATTGATTGAAAAATGTCCATTTAGGAGACAGACATTTTTATGCAAGTTTTGTTTTGCCTCCTTCCAAGTTTTAACA